ATTACTCATGTTTTGGGGTTTTACGAGCGCCTCTGACGTACGGGTTTCGGGGATTTATCGATTCTGGCGGTGGCCACCACCTGCTGGCGACGCCAGCATTCGGTATATGGACTCCTGGTAGGATTATGTGTCGTTTGGGACTTTTCAGTCGATAAAAAATCGCGAGGATTTTTACCCCTTTTTCGACAAATTATCATATTTATTAATTTTTCGGTGGTGGGGAGCCTTTCGTGGGAATTATTTAGAAATATTGTCTCTACAATATTATTTGAGATAATTATTTCAATAAATTGTATTGGGAAATTAAAATGGTTGTGATTGATTTTCTGCTTTTCAATTTGAAATTAAATCCACGTTTAATTAATTGCGGATTTTTTTTCCTGTAAAAATTCCCCGGAAAATTTTTCCTAAGAAAAGTTTTCGTGTGATATTTCCCTGGAAAATATGAAATCAAACATATTTGAATACAGCATCAATTCTTTATTGAATGTAACACAACTCAACTGATCTGATTAAAAATGAAATCGCATCGAATTTAAAATTTACATATCAACATTGGTCGGTAAATAATGAATTTATTAAACAAACGTGAATAAAAAAAGACCATTTTTGTCATCAACTTTTTCATTTTTACAATAAAAAAAAACTTTTTTTTTGTCATCTAACCGAAAAAAAATCAATTAGCATTGAAAAAAAAAACTCCAAGCAAAAACCGACATGAAAAAAATTGGTGCGGAAAATTGATTTCGAAGGGAAGAATTCGCCGAGGAAAACTTGACGTGTAAAAAATTTCCGAGAATTTTTCAATGAGGAAAAAACTTCAGTTACCCATATCGATCAAATAAAATTCTTTCGTTGAAATTTTCCCATTCATTTCAATGGAAATGTTGCAATTTTTAATAAACAATAAATACAATCTGAATAAAGGACTGTTACGTGTGAATAAATTTATTTCAAAATAATAAATTTTTCACTTGAATCAAGAAAACATTCGATTGTATTCAGAAAACTATTCGTTTAATTTTAAATATCACATGAAAAAATGAAAAGATTCATCATTAAGTTTGAATGAAAGATTCATCATGAGCTCTCTGAATAAACTCATTCATTTGCTCTAAGTAAAATTCATTCAATGGAAATAAACGGCTTCTCCAAGCGTATAAAATTCCAAAAAGTATTCATCCGCATCGTTCATAATCTCGTCTCATGTATCGCACAGATTCTCAGAATTTTTTCTATTAATTTCAATGGAATTATTCCAATTCTCAATAAACAAGTAATGCAATCTGAATAAAGGACTATTACGTGTGAATAAATTCACTTCCCATTAGTACACTCTTCATTGGAATGAAAAAAACACTCGTTAATATTGGAAAAACTATTCATTGAATGCAAAAATATCGCAAATAAAAATAAAAATTGTATAAAAGCTTCATTACGAGCCAGTTGAATAAACTCATTCATTAATTCTAAGTTCGATTCCTCAATGAAAATGAACTCCTTCATCTCGATCAAAGCCATTTCATCCAAAGAAATAATTCTCCACATCCGCGTTGTTCATAATCTCGTTGCAGGAATAATCTCGTGTGATGTATCGCGCAGGTCCTCGCACATGCATATCGATGATTATAAAATCCGCCCAACGACTGCCTCATAGCCCCCTGATATGTACAATTAAATAACAAGAGTCCATTCAAGTTATTTTCAAAACATTTGTTCAATTAAAAAACAAAACAGCAACAAAATCAAATAAAACGTCAAATTGTCGGGATCGACGGGTCAGACAGGTAAATAAATACACACATTGATTTACGAAATGGTAACGTGGTATAATAAATAGTTTATCATAATACAAATAAGTATGCGTGTATGCCCAATAAATACACTATCAGTAAAATCCATAAAAAATACATTACAATAGATTTATAAAATACTACCCTAAATTCATTTCACTCGCAAGTAGAAAATGGAAATATTCATCAAATCAAAAATATCATCCACCGGATGAATAAAAAATTGTCACGGATTATGAATGGAGTGTTCTTATCAGTCGAAGAATACAACAAAAAGTGTTCTTTCGTGAAATTTATCTCTCCGATATTTCCCCAGCTGAAGAGAGACTGAAATTCCCAGTGAAAATAAACGAGACCCTCCGAGATTCCAAAAACCTCAATTAATCAATTATAATAGAGTGTAAAAATCCCTTAGAATAGTCTCATACTCGAATCCCTTTATCGTATAAAATAACATTAATGAAAAATCTTACGTTCACAATATCACAGCTAATAACTTTAAGCTCGCCTGTGCCGCGCGTTAAAGCTAGAACAAATAAATAATTTTTTCTACTTCATCCGAGTTACTTGTGGAACATTGAATTACCCGCAAAAGGCACATGATGAGAGTGAGATACTCACTATGTACAAGTGTCTATTTTTTTTTACAGGGGAAACTTGTCCACTGAATATTGCAAATTATTAATCGTTGATGGAGGCATTTGCTGCGTTGTAATACTGCTTTTAACTCTTAAATAGCATTTTTATAATACTGGTCTCAAGTCCGTGGATTGTGTAGATACCCTGGTTATTAAATTCCCGTCGAATAGTATATTTCGATTGTCAATAGAAGAGAAGAGACGTGGAGTATTGTTTTATTTCAAAAAGACGAGAGAGATGTTGATGTCGTTCGATCTCTGGAAGAATATCTTTTGAGAGGAAAGGACTGATGGAATTTTTTTCGAACGATTAAATTTTTTTACGTTTTAAAAAGGGGTCTTTAAGACAGCTTAATTTTAAACCTTGACCGCAAAAATATGTGTTATTAATAGGGTCGACCATAGAGAAAAAGGAAATAAGACATCATGAGTTCGAAACAAAAAACCCTTGTCTAAAATCTCTAGAATATTTAGAAAGCTCGTCTTAATGTCTTAATTTGAAACACAAAAAAAGACTTGAATTTGAAGACATAAACGTCTTAAAAAGGGAAAAAAGTATCTTTAAGACGTCTCAATTTAAGACATTAAACGTGAAAATATGTCTTATTAACAGGGTCGACCATTAAAAAAAGTCTTAACGTCTTAAGTTAAGACATTAAAAAAGACCTCAATTTGGACACACTTTCTTAAAAAGGAAAAAAAGTGTCTTTAAGGCGTCTTAATTTAAGACATTAAACGTGAAAATATGTCTTATTAACAGGGTCGACCATTAAAAAAAGTCTTAACGTCTTAAGTTAAGACATTAAAAAAGACCTCAATTTGGAGACACAACTGTCTTAGAAAGGAAAAAAAGTGTCTTTAAGGCGTCTTAATTTAAGACATCACACACGAAAATGTCTTATCAACAGGGGCAACGACTGAAAAAAAAGTCTTAATGTCTTAATTTGAGACACAAAAAAGGACTTGAATTTGAAGACATAAACGTCTTAAAAAGGGAAAAAAGTATCTTTAAGACGTCTCAATTTAAGACATTAAACGTGAAAATACGTCTTATTAACAGGGTCGACCATTAAAAAAAGTCTTAACGTCTTAAGTTAAGACATTAAAAAAGACCTCAATTTGGAGATACAACTGTCTTAAAAAGGAAAAAAAGTGTCTTTAAGGCGTCTTAATTTAAGACATCACTCACGAAAATGTCTTATCAACAGGGTCAACGACTGAAAAAAAGTCTTAATGTCTTAATTTGAGACACAAAAAAGGACTTGAATTTGAAGACATAAACGTCTTAAAAAGGAAAAAATGTATCTTTAAGACGTCTCAATTTAAGACATTAAACGTGAAAAGATGTCTTATTAACAGGGTCGACCATTAAAAAAAGTCTTAACGTCTTAAGTTGAGACATTAAAAAAGACCTCAATTTGGAGACACAACTGTCTTAAAAAGGAAAAAAAGTGTCTTTAAGGCGTCTTAATTTAAGACATTAAACGTAAAAATATGTCTTATTAACAGGGTCGACCATTAAAAAAAGTCTTAACGTCTTAAGTTAAGACATTAAAAAAGACCTCAATTTGGAGACACAACTGTCTTAAAAAGGAAAAAAAGTGTCTTTAAGGCGTCTTAATTTAAGACATCACACACGAAAATGTCTTATCAACAGGGTCAACGACTGAAAAAAAAGTCTTAATGTCTTAAAATCAAACATTAAAAAAGACCTGAATTTGGGGCGCAAACGTCTTAAAAGCGGGGAAAGTGTCTTTAAGACGTCTTAATTTAATACATTAAACATGAAAAGATGTCTTATCAACAGGGTCGACCATTGAAAAAAAGTCTTAATGTCTCAAGTTCCCATATTAAAAGACCTAAATCTCGGGACAAAAACGTCTTAAAAGCACGGAAAAAGTGTCTTTAAGACGTCTTAACTTAAGACATTAGAGATGAAAATATGTCTTATCGACAGGGTCGACCACTGAAAAAAAAAGTCTTAATTTCTTAAGTTCAGATATTTAAAAAAGACCTAAATTTCAGGACCAAACGACTTAAAAGCGGGAAAAAAGTGTCTTTAAGACGTCTTAATTTAAGACATTCAACACAAAAATGTCTTATCAACAGGGTCGACCATTGGGGAAAAAAAATAAGACATCATGAGTTTGAAACAAAAAATCTTCGAGTAAAACCCCTACAATGTTGAAAAAGCACGTCTTAATGTCTTAAATTGAAACACTATGAATGATTTAAATTTGCCCACAAAAAAGTCCTAAAAAGGGTGCCAAAATGTCCTCATTCCAGCCGCTATTGGCGACTTTTTTCACAATTCAATCGTCTTTTTCATTTCGAAGTAACTCTCCTGATCTATTCTTAAAATATCTCCCTTGACTTCCACCCCACATACATCTTCTCTTCCATCAAACATCGATTCAATTAATCCTGAATAAAAAGAAAATCGAATGATCAAGTACATTTTGAGCCTTAAAACACCTCAAGATGAATATGAAAAATGGAATAAATAATTGATGATTTTCATTCGCGAGTTAGTATTTTTGAAGTGTAAAAACAGACAAAAATAGTGATTTCACTGCACGATTTTTCGTCGTCTATTTCTCATGAGCCTCCGTCTCATGCCGCGTCTCCTAGTCTGTAGGCCCTCACCACTCGGTCCCACACTCTTCTGCTTCCTAAATCGACCGTTTGGATTTTTCTTCCTCTCCTGGGACGGTCGTTTCGCCTTCATTCGCACAACTTTCTTCGGATTTTTCGGCTTCGGACGGTAAGCAGACAGTGGCTTAACAGTGTTGGGATCGCATGTACCGGGTCCCGTGGCCGTTGCATTGCGGAATGCACGAGTCCAGTCGTTTAAGAAGGCTTGATAAAGTCGAAGGACACCCCAGTCCTGAATAAGCATGAGCGTCAGGTCTCCCTCGGTCGCCCAATCCGGACTCTCCGTGACAATCTTCGCCTTGTGCACAACGGGGAGTTGAAGACCGAGGTTTAAGATTGCTGTTTCTACTTCGCAGAGCATCTGAGGAGGAGAACAAATGAATTAGGCGGTGCGAGAGGAGGTGATTCACGTGCAGCCGGAGAAATCACGCATTTTAATCAAATCCAACTTTTTATTCATAATTTTCGTTGAAGCGACTGTCAATGATTTCTTGAAATCGCTGAGTTCATTCGATTGCGGGGGAATTTTTTGAGTGGTTTCAGGGATTTCAAATGATTCTGAATGTTTCTTTTTTATCGCTGATTGTAGGATTTCGTGTAATTTCACTGATTTCAAGGGATTGTATGGAATTTGATACAGAAACTGTCGGTAATCCCATGGCCATTTTGACTAGCGGCCAGTTTACTATGAATATATCGAAATCTAAGGGAAATAGAAAAATTTTTGTCAAAATCTTTTTTGTAGGGCGAATTGAGCGCTACAAAAAAGGTAGTTACGAAAATTTCGATATGTTGCTTGGATTCGGAGATATTCGTCAAAAACTCAGCTGAGGGTTAAATCTACTTGAACACGAGCTAAATAAGGGTGGAATAAGGGCTAAAACTATTTGTTATTGAGATCTAAGCGGTTGAAAATTTTTGGCTTAAATTTCTGATATAGTTTTTGGAAATTTTAATTGAGTACCATTTCCAATGAAATTTCAAATAATTTTGTGATTGAAAATTCATAATTCGCCTGAAAAATTAATGAACTTTATGGAATTGAATGAGAATTGGGAAAATCCAGGTAAATATCGTTGAATTTTCCGGAAAAAGACCTGGAATTTGATTTAAGGGGAAAAAGTCAATGGAATTTCAAGTTTCTCTGACAATTCAAGGAAAGTCGCAATTTTTTAGCGGCAGAAAGACGGACATGTCACAATTTTCCTGAACTTTCAAGTGAAAAGGAATATTCACTGTCAAATTCCCTTGAATTCCCAGGGAACTCCTTAAAAACTTCTCGGAATTCTATGAAAATTCAGAGGCATCTGAAATTCAAGAAGAGATTTCTCTAATTTCTTCTGATTTTTCATTAATTTTCCCGGAGTAATTAAACTGAAATTGACAGTTCCCACGGATGTTTCCCTGAAATTATGAATTTTCATTAACAAAATTCATTGAAATTTCCGTCAAAATGATGCTTGTCAGAATTTTCCCAGACTCTTACCGAAAATTTCAGCGCAAAATTGTCAACAGTGTAAAACGGAAATATTGCTCACCCTTAATACTTCGTTCTGCATTCCCCCGACAATCTCATTCCGCCTGTTGATCGTTCGTTCCGCATCGATATTGGACTTCAATCGAAATTTCCTGAGTGAATGAAACGTGATAGCGAACCTCTGGAGTGCATCGTGAAGTCTCGGCAACGCGTGCTCCGCCTTTTTGCTTTTCTCCTTGCACCACAATTCACTGTGATACCACTCCAGCTGGTTCTTCGGTAGCCATGTCATGTGGTACTGCCCCTTCAGCACTTTATAAACCTGCGGACGTAATACGACGTTCGTGTTTATACTGTCATCCAGATCGATGCTGCAATTATCGCGGTTTTTTAGGGTTATTTTTTGCTGTATATTTTTTTTCGTGTTTTCGCTTCAGTCGCACGCCGTGAAAAAAAACGACCGATGGTCACAAAAGGAATTTCTTGAGCTGAGAGAGCAAAGCAAAGTTAAATTAATAAAATTAAGACACTTTTATCAAATTTGAGTCATTCTCCTTTTTTAAATTACATTAAGACATGTACTCTGAACATTCTAGGTGTCAATAGTTATGAAAATAAAAACATTATGAGAATGTCTTGTCTATCAAATGTCTTGTTTTTCTTTCTAAGAACAACCTGGGAAAAAATTGAATACCATTCTATGAAACATGAATAAACGAATCATAAATGTCCAAATCATTTAGGTCAGGGGAAAATGGAATAATTCTACTTTCTTAATATTGCGTTTAGTAAGGTCTTCTTCGAACAAAGTTGATTAGAATTAATAGCTAGAATTATGAGATTATCTCACATTTTTTACGTTAAGAACAGGAGCATCTGGATGCAATATAGTGAAAATGATGATCGATTTTTTCACTTTGAACAAATAATATTAATATCCAAATACAAAATTTCTGATGTGAATAAAAAAAAGCTGTAACTCAATATTCCAAATGAAGTTTTAATTTTTAATTTTGTACTGACAACACGAGATGACAATATCCTCAGCACGGATTTATATTGATGATATGAACAACAGATTAATTGAATTACCGTGTGAACTAACTAAAAATTGATAACAGGATGGGCACGCACTTTTACTAGAGCTAAACAAACATTGAAAATTTTTAAGATGAATGAACTGTTATTCATCTAAATGTATAAGAACATAGATTTATTTAATAATTAATATAGAAATATATAAGGATGATTTTACGATTCGAGAAAACTGAGAAAATTCCCCAGTTTTTTAGAAAATTGTCAGAAAATCCGAATGGAAGCTTTGAAATCGGGCAAATTTAAGTTTTGGATTTTTTGGGTCATATCGACCCAGTATGATCCAAAAAGTCCGAAAATGCAATTTTTCATGAGTATTATACAATCGTCTTGCGCCGAATTTTTATGAAGCCCGCCTAAAAAACAAAGCAGAATTGAATACCATTCTATGAAATATCTGTGAAATGTCCAAATCATTTAGGTCAGAGGAAAATGGAATAATTTCACTTTCTTAATATTGCGTTTCCTAAGGTTTTCTTCGAACAAAGTTGATTAGAATTAATAGCTAGAATTATACGATTACCTCACATTTTTTAATCTGAATGCAATATAGTGAAAATGATGACCGATTTTTTCACTTTGAACAAATAATATTAATATCCAAATACAAAATTTCCGATGTGAATAAAAAAAAGCTGTAACTCAATATTCCAAATGAAGTTTTAATTTTTAATTTTGTACTGAAAACACGAGATGACAATATTCTAAGCACAGAATTATATTGATGAGATGAACAACAGATTAATTGAATTCCCGTGTGAACTAACTAAAAATTGATAACAGTGTGGGCGCGCACTTTTACCAGAGTATCAACAAACATTGAATTCCAGAAATTCACGCTCCAAAGTGCGTCCTAGAAAGAATTGAGTTGTAATTATGATTAAAATCTTATTCATTTGTTGTAATATGAAAATTCAATAGCTGATGAATTGGGACAAACGATTCTCATCGGTCGTAGGGCTTTTTGCAACGAGAATGTCTTAAATTAAGACGTCTCGAACACTAGTTTCTACAGTGCAGTTTTTTCTGTCGCAGTGGCTGATCATGCGATGGGACTATCTACTCGTCAACAAGTCAGGACAATGGGAGGAATTTGAAGGCATATGCCACTGGCGCACAATGCTCGTGTTGTTTAAAAAGTCATCAGGTGTACTGTTAAATCAACGTGGGATAATGGAGAAGCTTTTGTAATAGATACGCGTGGAAATGCGGAGCATACGGCGCAACTGCTTGACTTGCAGGGGTATAGACTAAACAATATCTCAGTTGACAGTTTTTTCAGGCGCCATAAGGTGCCGAGAGGCTGGACGCTTGTTTTGAAAAGAATGGCTCTTTTATCTCGGTGCTGATATCAATGGCTCGAATCATTTTTGGATGTCTTGAAATTTAAGACGAGATGTTTAAGACATTCATTCGACCGGAGTTTAAGATGGAGTTGAAAGAGTCGTGTATTTTCTTAATTTAAGACGTAACGCTATTATTTATTTGACCGTAATTATAGATATTTATTATTTGTTGAAACTTTTTCAAGATTAAGATGTAAGAAATGTCTTAGAATTTAAGATGGGAGTGACGTTATTTAAGACATCAATTCCATTATTGATTTCAGTGAAATTGGTAAAGATACAAAAAGTATTTTCACTTAAGACTTCTATCGTCTTAATTTAAGTCACTACCTTCCCTAGTGCAAAAAACAAATGTCTTGAGTGCTTTTTGCTTTAAGACGTTAACCATTGATTTTAATTCAACAAATGAAAATACATAAATGTCTCAAATTAAGACCATAAATGGCTTCATTTAAGACCTAATTTTAAGACATTTAATACCCCACTAGCAAGACTATTCCATAAAAATGTGGAGAGAGCCTCAATTTTGATGGCATAAAGTCCTAAAAAGGCTTAAAAACGACTTAATGAAGTTTTTATTTCTACAATCACCGGATTCTTGTAACTTACCTTCGAATAAATGTCGTGAACATCTTTCAGGTCCTTTCTGAAGTGATTCTGAGCAACTCGCAGTTGCGTTCGCACGCGTTTCAAGGCACGGTGAACACTGTGCCGTTGAGGGGATCGCTTCAGTGCCGCACCCAAGGGGGTTCCGCAGGGCTGCTCCCAGGGCTCCATGGGGTGGCCCTCAATATCCGCGAAACTTAGGCCGTACTGGGGCGCCGCCGAGGCCACACTCAATCCTGAGCTCAGGAATAATGCCAGGCTCGTCAGGGTAGCCGTTTGTGCTACCGGATCTGTAAATATCAAGTCAAATAATCCATTATTATTATTGATATTTCTATTTATTAATACTTATGTTCATCACTGGGGGAAAAGCCAGTTACCATTCAACCATTTTTAAATATTAAATTTATGAATTAAATTGCGTGAAAAAAATTTGAAAAGAATCATAAACAGTTAGAGTTGTTGAAATTACATTTTGCACATTTCACATCGATTTTGAAAATCGAGTTCGCTACGCGATTATTTGACTTGCTCGGTAATTTACACAATATTTCTTTTTTTATATTCATCGGGAGCAACATTTATGCTGATTCTGTCGACGAATTATAACTATACAGCCATAAAAATAAGGACTTTGTAATTATGACCGTAAAATCGAGCGGAACGTTATTTCCCTATGAATAATTATCACGTAATTTATTTTATGTCGTTACTGTGCTCTGGAGTAACGCTTTTGCGGTACCGAAATTACGGTACTCTACCCCGGTTTCGTAAGTATGGGGGTGTGCTTATGCATAAATTAGGGTTTCACGCGCGATATTTCCGTATCTTTATGTCATCACAACGTGGTTTCGTAAATTTTGTGATGTTGATAGGGTTATACCTGTGGGCAAGTCGTTCGGATTTTTTTTTATTGGGGGGTATTTGCAGATGTAGATGTGATCCGGGGCTTGGTGTGGGAATCTAGAGTGGGGCTAGAAGCGATTATGGATGAACTGATAATTTTCAAACTCCTCCCTTCGGAATTTTGATGAATCTTCGGCTAATGTCTCAAATTAAGACATTAATGCATCCAAGATATTATAATAATTTTTTAAATCAATTAATTGGAAAAAAAATTAAAAAGTCACCAAAAATGTTTTAAGATTCCATGTCTTAATGGGAATAGTGACGAAGTACTGCTCAAATAGCTTAAATTATGACAGAATGAATTTCTTAAATTTATGGACTCGCATTTTAAGACATTATGAAAATGTCTTAAATTATGTTTTATTTTAAAATATTCCAAATTTTACTCATCATAAATTTGACAATCAAGACACATTTATGTGTTTGAAAAATCGTGGCTCAAATTAAGACACTTTTATTTCCTGTTTAAGCCGATCGATGCCCTCAATTTGCGTCAAATTATGTTTTATTTGAAGATATTCCAAATTTTATTCATCACAAATTTGACAATCAAGACACATTTATGTGTTTGAAAAATCGCCGCTCAAATTAAGACACTTTTATTTCCTGTTTAAGCCGATCGATGCCCTCAATTTGCGTCAAATTAAGGGGTTAATACACATGTCAATGCCTCATTATTTTTATGTATGAAATAATAATTTTCAACCTTTTTTCATTGGAATTTTGATGAATCTTCTGCTGCTATCTCAAATTAAGACATTAATGCATCCAAAATATTATAATTATTTTTTTAATCAATTAATTGGAAAAAAATTTAAAAAGTCACCAAAAACGTTTTGAAATTCCATGTCTTAACGGGAATAGTGACGAAATAGTTCTCAAATAGCTTAAATTATGACAGAATAAATGTCTTAAATTTTCGGACTTGAATTTTAAAATATTATGAAAATGTCTTTATCATGTTTTATTTTCGGATGTCATGTTTTATTTCAAGATATCCAAAATTTTCCTCGTCACATATTTGACAATTGCAACAAATTTTTGTGTTTGAAAAATAGTATCTCAAATTAAGACACTTTTATTCCCTATTTAACACGATCGAGGCCCCAAATTTGCGTTAAATTGAGGGATTAAGACACACATCAATGCCTCATTATTTTTATGTATGAAATGATAATTTTCAGCCTTTCCCCGTTGAAATTTTGATGAATCATCTGCTAATGTCTCAAATTAAGACATTAATGTATCCACAATACTATAATAATTTTTTAATCGGAAAAATCAATTAATCGGAAAAAAATTTGAAAAGTCACCAAGTGTTTTATGTTTCCGTGTTTTAATGGAAATAGTGACTAAATAGTCCTCAAGTAGCTGAAATTATAACAGCATAAATGTCTTAAATTTACCGACTTGAATTTTAAGACATTATGAAAATGTCTTGCTCGCCAATCGTTAGTAGACGCAATATGTGTTATTTTCAGATATTCAAAATTTTGCGCATTGCAAATTTGACACTTAAGATCCATTTTGTGTTTGACAAATAATAATTCATATTAAGCCGCTTTTATTCCCTGTTTAAGACGTGCGAGGCCCCAAATTTAAGTCAAATTGAGGCATTAAGACACACATCAATGCCTCATAAATTTTTTCATTCTTTTTTAAATTAATAAATCACCAAAGATGTCTTATGCCTCAATATTCAAAATGTCTGCAGTGCAGGGACGCCACCGCGAGGTGGCGTCGCAGTACCCAATCACCCCTGTCAAAAATCATATTAACCACTTAGAATTTAACTACAAAAATCATATTAACGTTCCCAGTTACCCTCCACAAATAATTGCAATTCGTTGATCATCACCTGTCGCTCACCGAGGTAATGAAAAATTGATCATCAATTCTCCGTCGGTGATGAGATGAATTAATCATCAACCTCCGTAGGAATCAATTTTTGTAGTCAACATGAGACGAGAGGCGGTCCCTGTACGGCAAAGAAAATAACACTGGCTTCTTCCGACTTTCACACCCGGCAGAATCGCATTCACGTGTGGGTATTCGCTACATGTATAAACTAAAATCCTCCGTGAGTATCACCCACGCGCATTCGCGATGAAACCGCCCCCGCAGTAGGAAATAGGTTGCAAATCGGAGAATCACGATTTATTGTCCAATTAAATACCCCGGCGGGCAACTTCCTCCAGTGGACAACCAACGAAACCACGTCCACTTCCTCGGAGTAATTCATTCATTCCTCGGGATTTTACTCCAATTTTTCAACCCTCAATTTATCGAATTATTGTCTACGGAAGTTGTTGATCTTGTGGTTGAATTTAATTCGCGAGGATTTTTCAATTTAATTGCGGTCGCTAATGAAAACCTACGCAATGAGAAAGTTGATGATCATTAATTATTAATAAAAATTTATGAGGAATGACGTCAATCTCAGAAGTTGGAGTCTTAGACGGTTTTAAATAAGACTATGGTTTTATTATCGAGTGGCTTAATTTAAGCCACTCGAAGATACATTAGTTCGGTTGCATAAATGTCTTAAAACCAGAGTTAAAAAATTCCGAGGCCTCAATTTAAGACACGCTATTACTTTAAGACCGTGGCTTAATTTAAGGTGTTGTCTTAATTTAAGACTTTCTATAGATTTAAGACATCGTTTTTATGCAAAACCTTACCAACATTCAAGGCAATCTCAATTCATCTTAATTTCTTCGAATTTAAGACTGTTAAGACATTTAAGACATTGACTTAATTGAAGACGTTAGTTGTTTCCACCCAAAAAATCATGTTTTTAAGCCATCTTAATCCGACCATTTACTCCCACGACCAAGCGTCTCAATTTAAGCTAATAAAAATGGATTAATTTTCAATTTAAGACCTTGATTTTCGTACGAAATGCGCGGACATTCACTTTCTCTCATTCAACTCCGTGATTAATCCTCTACTGTACGAAGAATCTGGTACTTCGTCACCGTGGGCCACACGTGTGGGTAATTAACACGCGCATTAACGGCACGAGTGCGTGCATTAACTCGGACGATAACCCAGCGGGACACCCATGTCGGAACAATTCAGTCACGCGTGTCACGCGTGAACAGGCATGTTCCATGTTTTCGTCCTCCGTCGCACTCCCGTGAAAACGAGAGGCTTCATTTATTACCACCCGTATCAAACCACTTGCGCATAGACCGCTTGGTGCCGTTTTCCAGTTTTATGATTGTATTGCGGGGAGCCATGTATGCAGTGAATTGAGAAGTAATTCGAGTATCATTTTATCACCTCGATTATCAACGTAAACTGATGTGTACATTTTAGATACTTCTTGAGACACTTTTCAGTCGTTAAAAATGTTTGAATCAACTGCGATATCTGATTTCAAGTCTGAATTGAAGAGTAGTTGAGCATCAATGATTATGAACGAAATCTAATGGTTGATGTATTAATTTTTTGGTTAATGTATCAAGTTTTTGTGCTTTCCCCCGGCGAAATATTTATTGAAAAACTTTCTTCGAGGACATTGCATGGGGTACTACGTACACTTGATGATAAATTAAAACGGAGAAGTTTTGAAAAATTGGGAAAGATCAGTGTTAAGACTGATGGGGTCTTAAATTTAAGATTAACGTCTTATATGTAAGACGTATTAACGTCTTATTTTTAAGATGAATTAAAGTCTTAATTTTAAGACTAACCAACTTTCTTCTAACTTTACCTCTTAAATTACGACGTACTAACGTCTTAAATGAACTCAAATTAACGGCCTAGATTAAGACGAATCGAAATCTTGGATTAAGACACAGTTGTTTCCATCTTTAAGACATGGGGACGCCCCGAGTGGCTTAAGTATATCGCCTAAACAATGAGACTGACGTCTTAAATTAAGATATTTTGTCGCCATGTTGAATTCATTCCCGCGCCTAAATCCCGGCAACTTTTATCACCGCCAATGTTCCGTCCACAAAGACACATCAGTGGGAAATCTAATGGGTAATGTATTAAGTTTTTAATCAATTAATCAACAACTGATTGACTCGAAAATAAAACCGGAGTTTTTTTTCGTATTTTCTAAAAAACCTGAATTTCCTTGAATTTTTTATGAAAAATATTTTCTGCATCCAAAACGAATAAATTTTGATTCCTGGTACTTCCAAATGATTTACATTTTTACATTTTCTATAAAAAAAAAAACTTTCCAAGTGTTGAAGAATTGTTCAAAAAACTAGGTTTAAGCTTTTGGGATTTTTTTCCTTATTAATCAATTCATTAATTCATTAATCAATTTTATCAATGATAATTCACTTTCATAATTTTTAAAACTTTTATTCAATTTGTCAACTTGGAAAGGACTCAAATTCGGCGCCATAAATGTCTTAAA